CTTAGCATATTGTATTATTATTACATACATGTCTGACTTAGATTTTCAATTATTAATCCTTGATGAAGGCTCATGTATTCTTTTTTTGTATCCCTAAGATATACCTATCTTAATAATTATGAGAGTCAATAAATAAAAGACTGGCTATTGGTTCAAAAATAGTTCTTGGGTGTGGTAGTGCACACCTGTAGTTTCAGGTACTTGGGAGGCTTAGGCAGGAGGATTGCTTGAACCAGGATTTCGAGGCCAGCCTGGGGAACATAGGAAGACCTAATCAATCTCTTAGAAAAAAAAAGAATGAAAAAGGGGGCATAACCACAAATAAACTAGAGATTTAAAAAAATAGTTCTTACATTTTAAGAAAGGAGAAAGTATATATACACCCCCTAATTATAATAGATGTTGAATTTTCTTGAATAAGTTTTCAACATACTATTTGATGATTAAAAATTCTAAACATATTTCAGTATGATAGCCTGCATTATTTTTATTGTAGAAGACTTATATTCTTCTGCAATAAAATACAGTGTAGACCAAGTGTCCTCAAACTACGGCCCGTGGGCCACATGCGGGTGTTTTTGCCCGTTTGTTTTTTTTTAATTCAAAATAAGATAGGTGCAGTGTGCATAGGAATTTGTTCATAGTTTTTTTAAAACTATAGTCCAGCCCTCCACTGTCTGAGGGACAGTGAACTGGCCCCTGGTGTAGACTGTACTTGATCTTCATGAATTACTTTTTAATGTTATATGGTAGTCTCTTTGTAAGATTTCATTACCTATTTTTGTGTCTTTATTGATAAGAGTGGCCATTGTTCTAGTTATCTATTTTTTTTTTTTTTTGAGACAGAGTGGGCTAGAGCGTCATGGCATCAGCCTAGCTCACAGCAACCTCCATCTCCTCGACTCAAGCGATCCTCCTGCCTCAGCCTTCCAGGTAGCTGGGACTACAGGCATGTGCCACTGTGCCCAGCTATTTTTTTTCTATTTTTAGTTATTTTGGCTAATTTCTTTCTATTTATAGTAGAGGCGGGGGTCTCGCTCTTGTTCAGGCTGGTCTCGAACTCCTGAGCGCAAACAATCCTCCTACCTCGGCCTCCCAGAGTGCTAGGATTACAGGCATGAGCCAACTGCGCTTGGCCTCCAGTTATCTGTTGATGCATAACAAACCACCCCAAACTTATGATGTGAAACAATTACCATTTTATTATTTTAATGATTCTGTGGATCTGAAATCAGAACTAAGTAGCGATGACTTATCTCTGCTCCATAATGGCTGTGGCTTTAGTTGGAGCTGCTTGGATGCCTGATGCTAACACACTTAGGGACCATAATCATCGGGAATCTTCTTTACTCATGTTTGTTGCCTAGTCTGTAGTAACTCAAAGGCTGGGCTCAGCCAGAACTATTGGCCTTTGTATATGGCTTGGTCTTACAGTGTGGCTTCTGGGTTGAGAGAGAATGCCCCGAGAGGTAGTGTCCAGTTAGCTAGTGCTCTAAGAGACCAATGCAGATGCTGCATGGCCATCTATGACTCAATTTTGGAAGCATCACTGTACTCTGGGAAGCAATGTGAAAAAAAATTGGGGGCCATTTTTAAAAATCATCACAGTCCCATGATATATTCTCTTGCTATTTATTGCCCATATTTGGCAAAAATCTTAAACATGTTTGTTTTATAAATTATGTTGGTTAACATAAATAAGATGTTGTAAAATACAGAAAAGGATTCAAATCCTCAAATTAAGTAAAGTTTTAGAATAATTCCAGTCAGTCTATTTGAGCCAGGCAATTTTTAGATACTATTTCCTTAATTTTTCCTTATTGTGTAATCATATGATTCTTTTTGTACATCGAATTATACATGTTTTAGTCATTGTGTGTACCTAAGTTCCATATTTATTGGTGTATAACTTGCCAACATTCTCATCTTCAGACCTTTTGTTTTTTACATTAGCTGTTGTTTATTCTCCAGAGTTTGATTTGCTTTATTGAAAAATTGTATTTTTAATCAGTTTTGTGGTTGCCCCTTCTGTCCCCAAAGGAATATAATAACTACTTGTAATTTTTAGTTCTGTCCTATTTTTCAAAAAATAACTCTGGAAATACATTTCACATAATATAAAATTCACCCTTTACAAGTGTAAATTCAGTGGTTTTTTTAGTATATTCACAGAGTTATACAGTCACCATCACAATCTAATTTTAGTCTCTTGTCTTTTGAGATGGGGTCTCTCTGTGTTCAGGCTGGTGTTGAACCCCTGAGCTGCAGCTGTCCCCCTGCCTCAGCCTCCCAGAAAGCTGGGATTACAGGCATGAGCCACCTCTAATAGTGGTGTGAGCCACAATCTAATTTTAGAATATTTTCAATATCCCAGAAAGAAACCTCATGCCCTTTAGCACTCGTGTCCTCATCCCCAGCTCTAGGTCACCACTGATCTACTTTCTGTAACTTTGCCTATTGTGGGTATTTTATATGAATGGAATCATATAGTATGTGATTATTTATGAGTAGTTTCTTTGACTTAGCATAGTATTATCAAGGTTTATACATGTTGAGGCTTGTATTATAATTTTATTTCTTTTTATTGTCAAAGAATAGTCTGTTGTATGGATATACCACAGTTTTTAAATCTGTTCATCTCTTGATGCACATTTGGGTTGTTTCTACTTTTTGGCTATTGTGAATAATGAATACTGTTTTGAATATTCTTTTATAAGCTTTTCGCTTGACATGCATTTTCATTTCCCTTGGGTGATGTATACGTGGGAGTTGAATTGCAGTGTGGTAACTCTATATTTAACCTTTTGAGGAGCTGCCAAACTGTTTTTCCAAAGTGGCTGCACCATTTTTTATATTCCCACCAGCAGTGTTTGAGCAGTCTATTTCTCCACAACTTTGCCAATGCTTGTTATTGTCTGTATTTTTTATGATAGCCATCCTAGTGGGTGTGAAGTCATATCTCATTGTGGTTTGATTTGCATTTTCTTTTTTTATTATTATTTCAGCATATTATGGGGGTACAAATGTTAAGGTTACGTATATTGCCCATCCCCCCACCCGCCCGACACCCCATAAATGTTATCCCTATTTGTCCACTTAAGTGTTGATCCGTTAATACCAATTTGCTGGTGAGTACATGTGGTGCTTGTTTTTCCATTCTTGAGATACATCACTTAGTAGAATGGGTTCCAGCTCTATCCAGGAAAATACAAGAGGTGCTATATCACCATTTGATTTGCATTTTCTTAATGGCTAATGACTTTTAGCATCTTTTCATGTGCTTATTGGCTGTTTGTATATCTTTTTTATGGAACTGTTTATTCTGATCCATTGCCCATATTTTTAATTGGGTTGTTTGGCTTTTTTTTTAATTACTGAGTTGTAAGAGTTTTTATTTATTCTGGGCACAAATCGTTTATCAGATATATTATTTGCTAATATTTTATCCCATTTTGTGGGTTGTATATTCAATTTCTTGATGAAATACTTTGAAGTACAAAAGGCTTTAATTTTTAATAGGTTGAATTCTTTTTTTCTTTTGTTGCTTGTGCTTTTGGATGAGTAACTAGTAAGGATTTGCCAAATACCAGGTTACAAAGATATACTTCTGTTTTCTCCTAAGAGTTTTATAATTTTAGCTTTTACATTTTGATCTTTGATCCGTTTGAGTTAAGTATTATGTATATGACGTGAGGTAGACTCCAACTTCATTCTTTTGCATGAGAATATCCCATGTCTCAGTACTATTTTTTGTAAAGACTCTTCTTTCCCCATTCAGTTATCTTGGCATTCTTGTTGAAAACAAATAATCATCAATATAAGGGTTTATTTCTTGACTCTCAATTTTATTCCATTGATTTACATGTCTGTTTTTTTTTTGGTTTTTTTTGAGACAGAGTCTTGCTTTGTTGCGCAGGCTAGAGTGAGCGCCATGGCGTCAGCCTAGCTCACAGCAACCTCAAACTCCTGGGCTCAGGCAATCCTCCTGCCTCAGCCTACCGAGTAGCTGGGACTATTGGCATGCGCCGCCATGCCCGGCTAATTTTTTTCTATATATATTAGTTGGCCAATTAATTTCTTTCTATTTATAGTAGAGACGGGGTCTCACTCTTGCTCAGGCTAGTTTCGAACTCTTGACCTCGAGCAATCCGCTGGCCTCGGCCTCCCAGAGTGCTAGGATTACAGGCTTGAGCCACCATGCCTAGCCTACATGTCTGTTCTTAATGCCAGTACTACATTGTCTTGATTACTATAGCTTTATAGTAAGTCCTGAAATCATGAAGCTTGAGTCTTTCAACTTTTTTTCAAGATTGATTTTGCTTTTCAGAGTCCCTTGTATTACCATAAGAATTTTAGGATCAGCTTTTTAATTTCTGTGAAGAATCCAGCTCAGATTTTGATACGGCTTGCTCTGAATCTGTAGATTAATTCAGGAGTATTGGTGTCTAACAGTATTAAGCCTCCAGATCCATGAACTGTGTTACTTTCTTTTGACTTTTATTTAGACTTTGTTTTGCCTTTCTTATTAATATGGGACTATTGTTGCTGACTATTGAACAAAATTCTGTTATTTTGTTCTGTATTTCCTCATTAACCTGGGCATTCACTTAAAATTTTGATTACATTGCAGTGTTAATATTTAAATATTTATTATAATATTTTAGCCAGTGAGAGACATGAATGTGGCTTTTAATATTTTCTAGGATGTGTTTAATGTTACTACAAAAGAAGTAATTATACTTCTTAGAATTGAGTTCCATAGTTTTCAGATTCATTTTAATACAAAATAAATAGATTATCATTTTGCGCTATCAGGCAATTCAATTTGATTCTTTTTTATTGTTAAAATTGTAATTTAAATTTTAATATATAAGTGCATACATTAATTTAAAGCAATGTGATACTATATAATGTTAATTTTTATGACTTTTATCAGACTTAATTGATTTTGAGAACATTAGAAAAAGCTAATGATTTTATTTTTTTTCCCTCTGCTGTAGTCGGTGGTAGATGATTGGATAGAATCATACAAGCATGACCGAGATATAGCACTTCTTGACCTTATCAACTTTTTTATTCAGTGTTCAGGCTGTAAAGGTAAGATATGTTTATTTTGGAGGCAGAATATCTCAAATAGTCACTTCTTTCTTTGTTCCATCTAAAGAGATGTTAACACTTTACATGGAAAATAATGCCAAGGTATTGAATTATTTGCATTATATCTATACAAAATGTATAAGGAAAAAAGAGCAAAGAACAAAGTAAGAGAAAGAGATCCTGTTGACAAAGTTGTATTCATATGTGAAAGTTATCTAAAAACACAGTAGTTTGTAATTGTTATGTTACTTTTATTAGATATATTTCCTACTTTCAGCATCTGGTTTTAAGAACAAAGAAATGGATTAAGAAGGGATGAGGAAGATAATGAAGATATACAGGTTGAAATGGCAGGGAATTGTAAAGTGTAGGGAATTAAAAAGTGCCATGAATAACAGTAAGTAAGTAAGTAAGTAGGTAAGTAAGTAAGTAAGTAAGTAAGTTAAATTAAGTTAAGTAAGGTATTGATGAAATTGCCAGTTCTTCTAAGAGGCAGAAAAAATTTACATTTGGTAGCAGGGTGTTAGATTCTTTGCAAATAGAAGATCAAGTACAGAACAACTGAATAGGTGCCGGAAGTAATTTGATGAGTTGAAATTTTATGTTTTATCTTCATTCTTTCCTTTTATAGTATAGTGCCATTGCTTTGAGTTTCTTAATTAGGCTTCTGAATTGTAGTCTTAAAACAAGGCCACAAAGAATATTTCCTCTATTAGATTCATTCCTTTTCTGGCATTAATTTGTTTATAAAATAAGAGCTTGCTGACTCAACATTTGGATATACCTTGTCACAAAGCGGGTTGTCAAGATTTCTAAAAATTTAAGGTGTTGAAAACTTAAATTGTCACATATATTTGAACATCGCCACTATATTTGGAATTAAGCAATCTCCATAAGGAGTAATTTACCTTATAATCAAAGTTAAGGTCATTGGGTACTTATGAACAAGAAATTATTTTGATAGAATTAAATTTTTTCTGTGAACTCAGGATGGTTGTTATGAGCATCAGTTATTTTATTGTAATACAGTTATGATTTGGGGGGCTGTTGAAACATGCAGGGATGTTTGGCCCTACATTGAATGGCTCCAGATTGCTCTGATGGTGATTTTGCCACCAATGGTGTTTCCTCTCTTTTTCCAGCTGTCACTTTTCAATTTACCAGTTTTTAGCAGTCTTGCTTCATGTCTGCCACATTTTTAAGGCAGTGGGCTCTGGCCTAATGTTCTAATGGTGGCTTCACACCTTCCTCAGGAGTTAAACGCATAGTTTGTGACAGCTACTTTCTTTTCTGCTCTGATGTCATTGTCTGTTCATTTTTGTCTCTTATTGTCATGTGGTTTATGAGAAGGGGGAGGAGCTTTAGAAATGGGGCATTGACACAATGTATACAGTATGTTTTTTGTGAAATTATTTATACGTAAATGTTCATTTCATAGAAATTATTTCAGAGATTGAGTTACTTTTGCTTCTTTAGCATTGTCTATCTGAGTATAAAGTATGGGAAGGTTTTAAAGAGATATACGTGATTCTAGATTAAAAGCAAAAGCCCTTCAAAAGGTTTTTGAGAGTGTGTTTCTTGAGCCAGAGAAATAGTGCTTCTTTCTGAATTTGTCAGTTTTTTAAAACAATTATTTGTTTCTTTAAGGTTGTGGTAAGTAAGGGCTCTTCCAGGGCACTGTTAGATATTGATCTCACCTAGGGGAGGCAGCATGATTTTAGGTGAATAATTTCAGAGAATTTTTTTTTGAGAAATTATTTAATTTCTCTTAGCGTTAGTTTCATCCATGAAGCAGGAATTATACAGCTGTGTGTACACACACACACACACACACACACACACACACACACGAATGCATATACAAAATATAGCTGTGGTCAATTGAAAATTTATGTTAGTTATATCTAATTCTTATTTATAAATCTCATCTTTCTGTACTAAAACATTCTTCTTTTAGATGTTACTAGATGATATTCCTAGTGATTAGACTGATAAACAAATAAATAATCCAGCAATAAAAATGCAGTTTTTTAAAAGTCCATTTTTTACATTTATTTTTTCTTCCTCCCTCCCCCACCTTTTTTGGTAAATATGATGCCGCATCCGTGAAAGTTCATGTACAATCTTCTTCCTGCATTGTCTCCTAACATAACTTTTTTCTAGAAATTCCTTTTCTGATGTCTGATCTCCACTTGGCTAATTTTTACAATTTCTACTGTGTACCCTTTTTTTCCCGCCCCCTCATATACTCCTTTAAGATTCTAAAGCTCTTTATGAAATTGTTTCTCTTTGAACTAGTTCTTGAATCCCTAACATACGTGTTTTTTTCCCTAACATACCTTTCCCCTAATATACGGGGTTTTTTTTTGGGGGGGTGGGGCAGTCTGAACTATGGTATTTCTTGGCATTGCCACTCATCAGGGCATTCATTATGTACTATCTTTAATACTTTATTTCTTTTTCTGTTTTTTTTATTCCAGAATATTTTGGGGGTACAAACGTTTTAGTTACATAAGTTGCTTTTGTACCATTTGAGACAAAGTTAAAGTATGCCCATCCCCCAGATAGTGTGTATTGTATCCATTAGGTGTGAATTTGCCCATCCCCTCATCCCCCTCCTCTCTGCTTTCTTTCCATTTTTATTATTATTTATTTTTTACTTCCAACTAGATTACAGGCTTCAAGAGGGGTGGGAACTGCAAGTAACTGGCCTTTTAGAGGATGTTAGGATGTAGTTGTCTTACACACAACAGTGCTTAATAAAGAAGCCTGGCTAAAGTGAACTGTTACTCTTTTCTCTATATTCAGGTTCACCCTCAAGGTTTTAAATGTTACCCTGAATGCTGTATCACCCTTGATGACACATATTTTATGTCAATAGGGCAAAGCCCCAGTATAAATATTATAGCATGAGTAATGCAAGTCACATAGAAATGACTAAAATTAATTTTGCTAGGAAGAAAGATAGCTGTCAGAAGAGTGGGGCTGTTTTCTTGTTCATGTCAAGAGTAGCATTTGTTTGTGATTTATTTATAGATTTGAGTATCATGGTAAAGATCAGATGAATAAGTATGCGAATGTAGACTTCTTAGTGTTAGAGAGTGACTTAGAAGTTCTCTTTATTTTTTTCATCACACCATGTATTAACTTCTGACACTTAAAAATTTCAGGAGTTGTCACAGCAGAAATGTTTAGACATATGCAGAACTCTGAGATAATTCGAAAAATGACTGAAGAATTTGATGAGGTAAATTATTACTCTGTATTTTCATAATTTTATGCATGTTGATTTTGACTTAATCTCTAAAGTATTCTTGAATTCTAAGTATTAGTGCTGTAGATAAGAGGTTTGGCATATTAGGTTTAATCAAATGATGGCTGTGTGACCCTGGGCAAGTTGTCTTAGTATTAGATTCATCATATGTAAAATGGGATAATAATACTTATATGGCTGTTATGAAGATTGAATTGAGTAATGTTTGAAAATTGCTCAGCATTTTACAATTCCTGGAACATAGCAAGAACTTATTAAATATGGTAGCTATTATTGTCAAAAATTAAAATTTCAAGGGAGAATATAATAGAACATAACATCCTAGAATGTTGTAAAAGGAAGATTTGCACAGTATTTGGGGAACTAGGTAGCTTAGGCAAAGAAATATAAATAAATTATTTTATTGTTTGAAACTTCCTTTATGTTTTAACTGTGAGTAATAAGAACAAAAAGTATTGAGTAGTACTTTAGACTGAGCTGATTTCTCCTTACCTCCGTAGTGCTGTACTCAGTTGATACTTTATCACAGTGATCTCTTTGAAGTTTTTTTGTTTTTTGAGACAGAGTCTCACTTTGTTGCTCAGGTTAGAGTGAGTTCCGTGACATCAGCCTAGCTCACAGCAACCTCAAACTCTTGGGCTCAAGCAATCCTGCTGCCTCAGCCTCCCGAGTAGCTGGGACTACAGGCATGCACCACCATGCCTGGCTAATTTTTTCTATTGGTATTAGTTGGCCTATATTTATAGTTGAGACAGGGTCTGGCTTTTGCTCAGGCTGGTTTCTAACTCCTGACCTGGAGCAATCCGCCTGCCTCGGCCTCCCAGAGTGCTAGGATTACAGGCATTAGCCACCGCGCCTGGCCTCTCTGAAGTTTTGTTAACCAATAAAAACCTGTAGAAGGTATCTCCTTGGAGGAAGGCATTTTTGTTTCTTTGGTTCACAGCTGTATTCCAGCACCAGTAGTTTTACTCTTCTAAAACTTTTCATTATGAATTTTCAAGTAGAAAACCATGTCTTATTTGATCATTTTTTTTCTTGCTTACTCTAATGAAGGCGCTTTTAGCTATCATTCTAAAAGATAGATGAGTTGTTAAAATGACTTTGATGATCACTAAGTGCTATTAATCAGTCCCTAAGTGGTTGAGAGGTAATTATGAGTAATGATATTTTTAACCTTTTAATATTAAATGTTTTATTGAGAACCTTTTTACTACAAAGAAACAACTATTTGATATAATCATCCTGAAATATGATTTGAAATGTCAACAAACCAAGTTTCTAACAACAATTAAGATGATATATTTCAGTATAGTCACTAAATGAGCTAATGGGAAAATATGAAGAAAACCTTTTTGTGGGCCAGGCGGGGTGGCTCACGCCTGTAGTCCTAGCTCTCTGGGAGGCCAAGGCAGGCGGATTGCTCAAGGTCTGGAGTTCGAAACCAGCCTGAGCAAGAGCAAGACCCTATCTCTACTATGAATAGAAAGAAATTAATTGGCCAACTAGTATATATAGAAAAAATTAGCCGGGCCATGGTGGCACATGCCTGTAGACCCAGCTACTCAGGAGGCTGAGGCAGCAGGATTGCTTGAGCCCAGGAGTTTGAGGTTGCTGTGAGCTAGGCTGATACCACGAAAAAAAAAAAAAAAGAAAAAGAAAAAAAAGAAAGAGAGAGAGAGAACCTTTTTGTGGAGTATTAGGACTCTGTTCTCAGATGAGACAGTTCAACTTATATGGAATGACTTAAGATTAAAACAAATGCTCTAATGACAACAGTTAATTGTTAAAAACTTACTAAACTGTACTGATAAAATTATTTCTGTATGGTATTGGTCTCTGCTTTTATTTAGAAGGACTTGTTTTTAATAATTTGTGGAGAATCTCTGTTTAACCTGAGACTGGAGAATGCTGTCATTGTACAAAGAAAAAACAGTTCTTTCAAGGCTATACTAGCTACATTTCTATTTCTTTAAAAATTATCTGCTTGTTTACATCTGTTCACTATTTGATGTCGTGAAGCTAATGAAAACATACATTGTAATCTTTTGTTGATTTATAGATCATACCTCATTTCGTTAGATTAGCCGAGAGTATGATATTATCATTTTGAATCCATTTAAAAATACAATTTTGGTTTGGTTTTGGTTTGCTTTTGTTTTAAAGGAGTTTAATAAACATATCTGTGCTTATCAGAAGAATGTTTTGCTTTGATGAGGGAGGCTTTTTCAATTCGTAACCTCTGAGTAATTGGTATGTATTTTCATTGGTTAAAATGAATTCAATATATCTATTTTGGTCTTAAATAAAAGAGCACAAGTTTTCAGAGTCTACTTTGAGGGTTTATTGAAGAAGAAAGGTGAAGTAAAGGAGTCTTTCCATGCTTTTGCCTAGGGTATTTTGAAAACAGAGAAATTGTAAGTCATGCATTTTGAATAAAATTGCTGTTTTACATTTTTGTTTTAGGATAGTGGAGATTATCCACTTACCATGGCTGGTCCTCAGTGGAAGAAGTTCAAATCCAGTTTTTGTGAATTCATTGGCGTATTAGTACGACAATGTCAATATAGCATCATATATGATGAATACATGATGGATACAGTCATTTCACTTCTTACAGGACTGTCTGACTCACAAGTCAGAGCATTTCGACATACAAGCACCCTGGCAGGTCAGTATTTGGAAATATTTTCTGTGTATTGCCTTAGGTTAGAGATGAAAAAAGGTTCTCATTAAAAGAGAAAGGAAATAATAGTGACACAAGTTAAATAATCTTATTTATAAAGTGACCACTAACAGGACACTTCGCCCACCCCCAACCCTCCTGTGAATTACTGGAAATGGGATGGCATTTTCAGTGTTCATTCTGTGAAGGTATACTATAGCTGGTATATGATGATTTCCTTGTGGTAAATGTATTTGAATACCATGAAACAATAAGAGAAAATTGGACAATAGGTATGTGTTCGGTATCTAGAGGATGTTATCAGGGGAAGATAATGACAGCAGATTTGGGAAAACTGTCACAGTCATTTTGGATATGTAATTCTGATGACCCTGTAGTTTGTCTCTGGTATGCATACCCTGCCTCCCCAGGTAGGAAGGCCCCTATTGGATAGTGCTTATTCTTTTTTTTGTTTTTTTTTCTTGAGACAGAGTCTCACTTTGTTGCCCAGGTTAGAGTGCTATGGCATCAGCAACCTCAAGCTTCTGGACTCCAGCAATCCTTCTGCCTCAGCCTCCTGAGTAGGCATATGCCACCATGCCCGGCTAATTTTATATATATATATATATTAGTTGGCCAACTAATTTCTTTCTATTTTTAGTAGAGATGGGGTCTCACTCTTGCTCAGGCTGGTTTCAAACTCGTGACGTTGAGCAGTCCGCCCGCCTTGGCCTCCCAGAGTGCTAGGATTACAGGTGTGAGCCACCACGCCTGGCCAGTGCTTATTCTTTTAATCACACAACAAAAGGTTGATTTTTCTTGTCTTTGGGTAACTTTAGCCAGGCCAAATTCTCTGATCTTTACATTTTAGTGAAATAAGTTATATTTTTACACCTAAAAAAATATCTTTTGTGCTAAAGGTAAAGTTGCTGATACACTATTATTGAATATGTGATTTTGAATTTGAATAAATCAAATAGGCTTTGTTATTACAGTTTTCTAAGCCTCAATAATATTTTAATTTTGAAAACAAAATTTTTCATTCTTTAACTGGGGGGATTTTTTTTCCTTTAGAATATTTCCTCTTAGAATTAAAACTATGATTAAAGATATACTTCCAAGTTTTCCATTATTAAAAATACAGATGGTTTCTCATAGTTTCACCATTTTTGCTTTCAGATTTTAAATCACAAAATGTGAATGTGCTGTTGCTTTGTGTACTTAATATGGTATTAAGTGTCAAGAATTTGATGGCTGGCCAGGGCCTGTAATCCTAGCACTCTGGGAAGCCGAGGCGGGAGGATTGCTTGAACTCAGGAGTTCGAGACCAGCCTGAGCAAGAGCGATACCCCGTCTCTACTATAAATAGAAATTATCCAAACAACTAAACATAAAAAAAAATTAGCCAGGCACGGTGGCACATGCCTGTAGTCCCAGCTATTTGGGAGGCTGAGGCAGGAAGATTGCTTGTGTCCAGGAGTTTGAGGTTGCTGTGAGCTGACACCATGGCACCCTAGCCCAGGCAAGAGAGTGAAATTCTGTCTCAAAAAAAAAATGATGGCTAAAAGTAAATTAAAACAAGTATTATGGCACAAGGTGAATAAATTTATTTTAGATCAGAGTGACCAGCTGGTTTGTTCAGGGTATGAAATGGCACAAAGCAGAAAACTGCAAAGTCTCTCTTTAAGAGAACCAGTAGCCACAAATTAAGATATAGTTTTGTCTTGTTGCATCATGCCATGCACCAAGTCTGAGAAATGGTCTGGAGCAAGTTAAAGAAAACATAAATTGATCAGATCTTTCAATTAATAAATTTTAAATCCCAGGCAATAAGATTCTTGTCCCAGGCTTAAGAGTTCAGTAACAGGAGGTAGGGATCTGGAGGAAGTTTTATGAAAAGGCACTTAAATGAGTGACGTTTTACTCTTTGTACTTCTGACTTTTCATGTAGATCTGTTCTTCACAGTCTCATCATTGTCCTTATGATATGTGACAATAAAATTAAAGGAACACAAATACTGATAAAACTCTTCAACATTTTTACACAGTGTAATTTGGTATAAAACAGCCAAGTTCCCTTTAATTGCTGAGAGCTAAATTACTTCTGTACGAACTAAAATTTACTCAGAAGGTGAATCCTGATCAATGAAAAAGATCATTTAGGGGACGTATTATAAAATAGTAGGATTTAAGCAAAGTTTTGGAGTCAGATTACCTTGTTTCGAGTCTGGGTTTAACTACTTATACAAACTGTAATCTGAGGCAAGTTTTTTAATCTCTCCAAGCTTCAATATCCTCATGAATGAAATGGGGATAATTCTTAACTTTGAATGCAATTGTGAGGATTAGGAGATAATCCATGGAAGTACTTAACATAGGTAACTGACTGACACATAGTAAGTGTTCAGTACACCTTAGCTGTTGTTTTATTACTGTTGTCATTTGTAGCAAGCAGCTGTATTTTTCTTTTCTGTTAGAAGCAGAGAAGCTCATCTCTGCTTAATTTGATCTTAAATTGTAAATTTTTGCATCTGTTAGACTAATTTCAACATTTTATCCTTTTAAAAATAGCTATGAAGTTGATGACAGCTTTAGTGAATGTGGCACTAAATCTTAGCATTAATATGGATAATACACAAAGGCAATATGAGGCAGAACGGAATAAAATGATTGGAAAACGAGCCAATGAGAGGCTAGAACTCCTGCTACAAAAGCGAAAAGAGGTATACTTTTATATTGAACATTTGGGCTATTAATGTGAGCAACTTGGTTACCATTAGTTATGATATAACTTTGTTAGCACCTCAGGTATTTTTTTGAAAGATTTAAGTTTAACATATTTCAGGTTATGTGTGTAACTTAAAGTTCTGTTCAGTAACCATGCTAACAATACCTTGTGTATCTTTTCTGTCTGCATGGACTAGTATTAAGAGTACTGGGCTTTAAGTAAGGAGACCTGGATCAATCAGTCTGAAAAGTTGTTATAAACCTTCATATTATTCATCTTTATCGTGAAAAACTTTCCACACCTTGTTGGTAGGATGAAATGAGGTTTTGCAATAATGTGAAATCATTTTGAAAATTAGCTTCTAAGCTATTTATTGGCATCTAAATCAGTTTCTTATAGATTAACCTTAATGATTGCCCACCAAATTTAACTTTGAATGAGGAAGATTTTTTCTTGTCAGCCTTACACTAAATAATAGTAAATAAAATCCTCTGATGTTGTGTTTGTAATTTAAATTCTTTCTTCATTGGTGATAAAATATTTTGCTATCTAACAGTGGAGATATTTCTTTTCATTTCTAGTAGACAAAGTCTGAAGTTTCAAAAATATTAGTAATGCAGTTGAGTTCAAAATAGTTGTCATGGTAATCCATAAACTGACCTTGAATTTTTTTTGTGTGGGGGAAATAGCTGTAATTTTAAATTGTTTACTTCTGAAATAATACCTTGATTCTAGAAAAATACTGCTCATTTCCCTCATGCCTAAATTTCTCAAATTTTTTATATAATTTGAAATGAAAAATGAGTACATTTGCCCCTTAACTTACTTAATAAATTTCATTGTTTGACTTATTATGTGAGTATAAAGCATTTCTTAATCCTTGAAATTATGGCGTAATTCTTGGACACAGGTTTAGAATTATGAACTTAGAATAAGTAGATAAAGATAAAAGAGATTTGAGATTAAAATTTCTGTGCAAATATACTACTAGGTTAGGGTTATGTTTTAAAACACGTTGAAAGGCATCCTGCACTTTTGACTGTGTTAATATATATAAGAAGTGCATGCCTCTGTTAGCCTTATTTGGAAATACAAGATTATATTCATGCAAAGAAAAAAATACATTTTATAAAAGCACAGAATATGATCTAAAAGCTAATTTTATCCTTAGATTGTAAAAGAATCTTTATTTCCAAGCTCTGAATTGAAAATTTATGTGAATATACTAGTTATCCAATATTTAAAATGTTTACTTGATTGTTTCAAGTCAATCTTTATTCCCTCAAAAGAGTTTAACAACGAGACAGTTTTTTTACCTGGTTATTTTATTCTAATTACTTTTGTTCTTTGACCAGGCACTGGTTAAGCTGACTCTTTTTCAGACTATAAATATCAAGATAATGAGAAATTGTTAAGCTTTGTTGATATGAACAAATATGTAACAAATGATGTGTAGCATTAATAATAAATTACATAACAAATTTCTTTACAGTTCCTTTATACAATGGAATTTGGTAAGCGTTAGATAAGAATTAATCTACCAGCTAAATATTAAAACCCAAGTCAGATATTTCAGGTACCAAGAAACTTTAGCTACCTGATGTACAACTGTTGTTTTTTCTAAGTGGTTATTGTTGTTTAGTAAAATTAAAAATTAGATGTAACCACCAAAATAATGGAGAATCCTGCATTTTTTGTTGCTTGTAACAACTTTTCAGTGTTCTTTTGGTTGTCTTCCTTTGTAACTGAAAAGAAATGATGTGTTCTTTACAGCTTCAGGAAAATCAAGATGAAATAGAGAATATGATGAATGCAATATTTAAAGGAGTGTTTGTACATAGATACCGGTAAGTCAGGACAATTTTTTCATAAATAGCACTATGTAATTTTTACTTTGCAAGTTTGGATGTTTATTGGTTTATGCTGTATAAATTAATGGAAAGAATGGTGTAGTAGATCAATGTTAGAATCTAACCTCAGCTACTGAGTACTCTGGTCAAGTCATTTAACTCCTCTGAATTTGATGTTTCCCATCTGAAAAATCAGGTAATGATGTGATTGACTTGTAGCTGCCCAGCCAGAGGAAGTTACTGCAATTATTAGGAGTCAGGGTATAAAATATTTAATTGCTTTTGGATGTACTGTGTTAGTAGAGACTTTATATGCTGACTCCTGACTCTCTTCTCTTCCATTTGAGTATCAGTGGGAAAGTTTGGATAGGTTAAAGTGAGATACTTTCTTGTGCTATTTTGATTGAACAAAGGAACGAAATAGGTAATCTTATACAATTTCTGCTGTAGTGTATTCTTAAATGTTGGTAGTATTTTTATTCAACTTCTCTCACATTTCTTCAACTTGACAGTATTGAATCAGATTAATGCTTGCTTTGTAATGTCCCCATGTCCATTCTTAAATTTTCATTTCTATTGTCACCATTACCTTAGTCTGTTACCTCATCATTCGCATGCCTAGAGACTATTACAGTTTTCTTAAAACATCCTTTTATTGTGTTATTCTTCTGTCTTCAATGACTTACCAGTACCTACAGGATGAATTTTAAATCATTTATTATGACATTCAAATCCCAATTGAGCTTGACCTCAATGTTATGTGTAAGTAATTCTCACCCGGAAAATTAAGCTCTAGCCAGACTAGTGTGCCTGCTGTGTTCTGAACACTCTATGCTCAGCAAATATGAGCAAAGGCTGGGATGTGGTATGGTGTAAAGGTGGGGATGGGATTTTGTTTGTATTTTTACTTAATTTTAAATTTGTATGTGTTAGTAATTATGCTTTGCCACCTGGACTGTAAGCTTTTGTCATTTGGGGCCATGCTTCAGTTCTACTTTCTAATCCCTAGTTATACTTGAGATACTGTTACATTTATAGTAGGTATGAAGTCATTGGCATGTGGTTTTTTTTGTTTTTTTTTTTTTTTGAGATAGAGTCTCACTCTGTTGCCCAGGCTAGAGTGCTGGCTCACAGCAACCTCAAACTCCTGGGCTCAAGCAATCCTACTGCCTCAGCCTCCCAAGTAGCTGGGACTACAGGCATGCACCACCATGCCCGGTTATTTTATATATATATATTTCTAGTTGGCCAATTAATTTCTTTATTTTTATTAGAGATGGGCTCTCGCTCTTGTTCAGGGTGGTTTCAAACTCCTGACCTTGAGCGATCCTCCCGCCTTGGCCTTCAGAGTGCTAGGATTACAGGCGTGTGCCACCACACCCAGCCCTTGGCATGTCTTAAATAAATGGTAAGTCCTGGTATAGTAGCACTAATTATGCATAATTTTCCTCTTTTATTCAGTGATGCAATAGCTGAAATCCGAGCTATATGCATTGAGGAGATTGGCATTTGGATGAAAATGTATAGCGATGCCTTTCTTAATGACAGTTATTTAAAATATGTTGGTTGGACTATGCATGATAAGGTAAGATATGCCCTACAGATTGCTTCTGTCTACACAAGTCATGGCTGTCTGCAGCTATCATTCATGAGTTATCTGCCTGTATGTATACCTGGAGCCACATTCCTAATAAACCTTTCTCCGTTATTCTTTTGTATCTGCTCTGTGAAAACTTGATCTCGATCACATAAAGTCCCCTAGATTTTTTAAATCCTGGCTACTGATTTAGCCTTCATTGTGAATGAAGTTTTGTTGCTGAAACACTAGGATCATGTAAGTGGTAATAGTGAAGCATTTCTTAGAACACTGAGAAAGACCCCTTAATCTGTTGTTAGCTGAGTGCTATATATTTTTTTCAAATTCTTCAATTTGATCCTTCTTTTGAAATGCATGTATCTTAGCAAAATTATACCTTACAATTTGGTCTCTGACTTATTTTTTTCATTAAACTACTGTTCTCTTAGACTGCCTCTTTACCAGCCTTGAAGAAGTTCTTTATATATACTACTTCTAAACATTACTTTCTGTAAAGGAAAATTTACTGTGAAATATGCTTCTATTGTCTTTCACAGTAATTTGCTCTAAACAAATTTTAAAAAACGATCATTTGACAGAAATAATAACCCATAGATATTTAGTCTTAAGTGTATGTACTGATTTCTCTTTTGCATTATCAACCGATAACGGTTTCTGAAGAAATGCTGCTGTATAAAATATGTTTAAAACTTTAAAGTAGAAAATACTGTATACATCTTGAATATTCAGGTTGAAAATACATAGTGTTAATGCATTTTCTCCTCTTATGTTTTTTTTTTTTTTTTTTTTTTTTTAGCAAGGTGAAGTAAGACTCAAATGTCTTACTGCTCTACAAGGGCTTTATTATAACAAAGAGCTGAATTCCAAACTGGAGCTTTTTACCAGTCGGTTCAAGGTTAGTATTACTTGAAGTATTTAAAATTACCTATAATTTGAAAATATTTTTCTCTTGCTTTCTTTTTAAAAAATATTTTGATTTTTTTTGTCCTTAGGATGAATTGTGTCTATGACCCTTGACAAAGAGTATGATGTTGCAGTACAAGCAATAAAATTACTCTCTTGTTTTACAGTAAGTATGTATTTGTTACATATCTGAACTAATGCGCAGATATCTAAATAATAGATTAGAGTACTTGTGCTTCCAAATCATCTAGTTCTAAATTTTAATAGCTTAAATTGTGTGATTGTACAGCTAGAAGTTTCCTCATGTAAATTGAGAAAACATAGAAGAAGGAAACATAGAACCTGTGAAATTCTAACTGAGCAAGGATTCATGTGTTCCCATTCTCTTGGCCAGTTTCCTTCCTATTTTACTGTTTTTGATGCTCTTGAAACTAAAAATGTGCTTATTATATTTTATCACACATTTAGAGTATGAGCATTTACTAAAACTTCTGTTTCTGTTAGTACCTATAAACAATCTTAATTGAAGACATATTCAACTATGTCTACTATTTGATATACTAATATCGAGAAATGATGTTATTCATTTTTTTACTTTTTAAAAATTTGTGATAAAATAGGAAAACATAAAATTTACCACTTTTTAACCATTTTCGAGTATGTGTCAATATATATGGTTTAGTGGCATTATGTGTATTCACATTATTGTGCAACTGCCACTGCTATCATCTCTGGAACTCTGTACCTATTAAACACTACACTCCCACTACTCCCTTACCCCCGACCCTGTTAACCACTGGTTCTTTTCTGGCTCTGTGAATTTTCCTATTTCATATAAGTGGAATCATAAAATATTTGTCCATTTGTGTCTGGCTTATTTCATTCAGAATGTCTTCAAGGTTCATCAATATTATAGTGCATGTATCAGAATTTTGTTCCTTTTTATGGCTGAATAATGTTTCATTGTATGTGTGTATACCACGTTTTGTTTATTCATTCATCCTGAATGAGTTTGGGCCATTCTACCTTTTGACAATTGTGAATGGCACTGCTATGGCATGAGTGTGCAAGTATCTGTTTAAGTCCCTGCTTTCAATTGTTTTGTGTATGCCCAGAGGTGGAATTCCTAGATCATATGGTATCCTATTCAATTTGGGGGAGGGACTGCCACATTGTTTTTCATAGCAGTTGTGCCATTTTACATTCCCACCAGCAATGTACAAGAGTTCCAGTTTTTCTACATCCTCACCAACATTTCTTTTCTGCTTTTTAAAATAAATATTTATCAAGTGCCGTCTCCATTCTAATCACTTGGGTGGTATGTTAGGCCTCTTAAAATCAAAATCTTTTTTCAAAATTAAATATTTTATAAAAACACCTAGTAATAAGCAATCCACCAGATGTATATGAAGAAACATTAATAAAATGTAGCCAGGCGCGGTGGCTCACGCCTGTTATCCTAGCACTCTGGGAGGCCGAGGCAGGTGGATTGCTCGAGGTTAGGAGTTCGAAACCAGCCTGAGCAAGTGCAAGACCCCATCTCTACCATAAATAGAAAGAGTTAATGGCCAACTGATTATATATAT